GATGCATTATGCAGTGTAATTATAGCAGCAAAACACAGACCATCAGGTTCAGATGTACAATTGGCCTTGCTTTAACCCAGTCCTTGAGTTCATGATAGGGAAGTTTTGGATGTGAATTTACCTTATAATGAAGGCTTTTTGGTATTTCAGTGACTAACACCTTTTAGACAGGGTCCATGGTGATCAATTCATATTGATTTTGCTAACTAAATAGTACTTGAGCAAAGTTCCAGTGGCATCTAAAAATAAGCTCTTTCACGGTCCTTACATGTCTTAAATATCATTATAGTATTTATTTTGTTCAAATCTTTGCAGTCACCTCAAATTTCCAGAATTCCTGTGTAAATCATTCTAAGTAATTCAGTAAATTTGTGAACCTACTTCCTAATACCTTGTAAACCTGCATTTCACATTTCTACTGGGCTGCTTGTAATCAATAGCTCTTTCTTCACTGCTTCCCAACGTGTTCTAATTTGTTTCCTTTGGGAGAGGTAGATTTTAAGAGCTCAGGATTACATGCTTTTTTTTTTTTTTTTTTTTGCGATTTAGAGCTCCTCCTTATTTAGTAGCAGTTCTACGTCTTTCTCTAGTCCCATTTTCTCTTGAAGCAGCCATAAAAGTACCATCTGGTTTTTAGCATCATTCTATTTCTGCTTTCTCCTCCCTGCACTTTTCTCTTCTCTGAATGCTTTATGCGATAACAATTTATTCTTGATTTATTATCCACCTGCTTTCACAGCCTTCCCCTTTCTGCTCCTCCTCCACCCCTTTCCCACCCTGAATGGAGTGGTATACCATAGTTCTTAAGGACACAGCTCTGGAATCAAGTAAGGACCAACTCAACCACTTATGCATGTTGGGCTTTAGTGACTTGACCACTACAAGCCTCAATTTCTTCGTTTATAAGAAAGAGAAGGTTATAGTACCATCTACTGCACAGGGTTTCTTGAAGAATTAAATAAAATAATATACATCAGGGTTTCTCAGGCTTGGCACTATTGACGTTTGGGGCTGAGTCATTCTTTGTTCTTAAGGCTGTCCTAGACATTGCAGGATGTTTAGCAACAACCCTGGCCTCTACCACTAGATCCTCATAGCAACTCTCTTCCCAGTTATAACACTGAAAAATGTCTCCAGACATTGCTAAATATCCCAGGGAGGCAAAATTGTCCCCGTTCAGAACCACTGACGTATAGAAACATTTAGCACAGTGCCTGGTACATAGTGGGGACTTGATTAATAATCTTGATGAATGGATGGTCAGATGAATGGTTGAATATTCATTTTTAATACAAGTGTCTAATATAATTCTTGACAGGCAATTAACCACTTAATACATAAATGGATAAACAAATAAACATGAAGCCAGTGAGTTTCAAGGTCTGTCCATAGTTTCTACCTTATACTAAAATGTCGTATCGTCACTAAACACAAGCTTCCTATGTTTCAAAAAATACTTTAGACAATTAACTAACTGCACAGCTTAAACTACTCCCCCAATTTAATATACATGCATATACTTTAAAGAATAGGGAGATTTTAAAATAAACTCTAATGGATGATAGCTATAACAATTATGTTGTAGAATTCATTGCTAAAACTTGAAGTGACCTTTTGATTAACCTGAGTATTTCAGGTTGATATTCCAGTGAATAAGCCATTGATGTGGTAAGAGAACAAAGCTCAGGCAACTTTTAAGTATTTGTTAATCTCAGTTATCTTATGTAAATATTTTTGAGTGCCTACTGTGTTTCAGGCACCATTCTGGGTACTTAGGATACATTCGTGAACAAAACAATGATCCAACCCTGTGGAACCTCCATTCTATGAAGTAATGATCACAAAAATAATAAGTACATATATAGAAATAAAAATATAGATTACTCACAACTTCTAAAATATTAGCATGGGAAATACTCTAGGTGGCACTGACAGCAAAATTCTAGTGGATGACTGTAACTGAACCAGAAACACTTTTGTGACTGCATTCACTGTTTGCCATTTGGTTGCTCATCTGTGTTTTCAGTTTACTGAACTCTAACTTTCTTGTCTGATCTGAATTACAATGAAGGTATTAAATCAAATCTGTGGTTACCTTTGCATGTTTTAGAACTGCAAACATTTAGATTATGATTCACTGTGTGCATAATTTTTTAATTGTCTCAAATCAACAGTCTTACTCTTACTTTTCTAGGTTTTTCTCTAATGAACTAACTTTATAGCATACTTTTTGTGCTGTAGTCTAACAAACCAATAGCTGATTTTTTAAGAAAATTAATACAATATATGCTTTTTTTGCCTCACTTTTTTCACCTGTAAAATGGGATCTGTGAGATACCTAACACATAAAGTTGTTATAAGGATTAAATAAGGTAATGTTTATTAAAAAAAAAACCAAAAACTTAGAACTAAAGAAAATGCCAAGCACATAATAATTATTAAGTGTAGTATTTTCTGCACTCCTACTGGCCATGTACTTTTTTCTAGTATTTCCAGTATTTTAACTTAGTAAATTAGGTAGTATATCTTTTTCTTTTCTTTCTATACTTGGGAGAAAGAAAGCAGGATTACAAGGAAATAAAAGCAAAATGTATAACCGTCAGGGCCATATAAGTAATGTCTCTTTGTAAACCACTAGTCTCAGGAGTAAATCCCTCCACATGATGAAAACCAAGAGATGTGTTTGCATATAACTCTTTTTATAAAGATTTTTTTAATTGCAAAGACACAGTCATTTTTATAAAATTCTAACACACTAAAATTAATAATTTGGAAAGTGAAAAGCCCCTTTATGCATATATTAACTCCAGCTCACTACCTTTAGAGATAATTAATTGTAATAATCAATGTATAGTCTCACTTTTTTCTTTTTTGAGACAGAGTCTTGCTCTGTCACCAGGCTGGAGTGCAGTGGCAGGATCTCAGCTCACTGCAACCTCTGCCTCCTGGGTTCAAGTGATTCTCATGTGTCACCCTCCTGAGTGGCTGGGATTACAGGCACCCACCACCACACCCAGCTAATTTTTGTATTTTTAGTAGAGACAAGATTTCACCATGTTGTCCAGGATGATCTCAATCTCCTGACCTCATGATTCAGTTGCCTCGGCCTCCCAAAGTGCTGGGATTACAGGAATGAGACACTGTACCCAGCATAGTCTCAAAATTTTTTCCTGGTCATTTACTAGTATATATTTCTATTAAAACAAAATCACATTGCACATAGTTTTGCAACTGGCCTTTATTCACTTCGAATATGTCTTTGGTGTCTGTTTCGCCACATTTAGTTCCTTCTTGTTTCCAACAGCTGTTAAGAGTGGTAACTCTCTGGGTCTCTGGGTACTTACCCACAAAAGCACATGCATTAGAGCTGGTTGAAAAAGTCCTTCAGGGCGGGCACCCGTGGCTTACACCTGTAATCTCAACTTTTTGGAGGCCAGAGCTGGCAGACAATGTGAGCTCAGAAGTTCAAGACCAGCTTGGGCAACATGGCAAAACCCCATCTCTACAAAAAATACAAAAATTAGTCAGGCATGTTAGTGCATGCCTGTAGTCCCAGCTCCTTAGGAGGCTGAGGTGGGATACAGAGGTTGCAGTGAGTGGAGCTCGTGCCACTGCACTGCAGCCTGAGTAACAGAGTGAGACCCTGTCAAGGGATGGATGGATGGATGGAAAGAAGGAAGGAAAGAAGGAAGGAAGGAAGGAGGGAGGGAGGGAGGGAGGGAGGGAGGAAGGAAGAGAGGAAGGCAGGGAGGAAAAAGTCCTTCAGCTGAAACTTGCAATGCCAACAACTGACCCCTCTCTCTTTCTCAAAGCACTAACCCAACAAGGGGCACGAGCAGAGAGGCTCAGAAGGTCTTCTCAGTCCACACCAAGAAACCAGACCTTTCTCAGTGCAGGGAGAAGGATGAACTGAATGAGGAATACTCACTCATATGGCAGTTAATCCAGAGGATGACAGAAACATTACAAATGTGACACCATTGAAATGGAACTCCTCTTTGGAGTGTGGAAGCCCAGTCTTACACAACTCACTTGAAGCAGAAAGGAAATTGTATTTGAGGATGTTAAGGTCGAGCTAACTTTTATTAAAATTGCCACAGGAGGTCATTCATCCCTACTTCATTTATACACTTCAAAACCTACTTCCCACCACTCAGATACTTACTTGTGGAGTGATTAAGTTCTCTATCTTTTCTATGCTTTCATTAGATGCTCTTTTTCTCTTTTTTGCTTATAAAAAGGAAGATTTTTTTAAGTCAAGTGTCAATATGCCAAACATTAAGTATCCACTCCCTTGCAATGCAGTGTTTATATTTACAAACCCTATTATAACAAATATAATATTACTTAATTATGCAGCAAACTTACAAATAATTGGTGAATCAGGTGTAAGAAATACTCTGTACAGGAAGAATATTCAGCTTAGTTGAGGCCTTTGTTAAACAATATGCAAAGTTGCAGGTGCCATGCTAGGGAATTTTTGGGATAAAGGAAATGTAAACTTATTTGGCAGGAAAACTAGAGGCATGATTATACCTTGTAGTACTTTCATGGCTGGACAGATTTAGATGCCTCTGTCACATCACCCAGAAGCTGTAGTGTTAAAGGCTGAGGCAGGAGCTCCTTTTGCCACAGGAAAAAGGATGAAACCAGAGACATTGTGAAACGTTGCCCCAAAGAGTTTTAAGGCTCTCTGAAACCTTGGGTTTTTTTAATGCTATTGTCCAATCTGTTGAAGGTTAATTAATATGTGGTTCAAAATTGCATAGGGAAGGCACAGAATGGCCAAAGGGTCAAAACTACAGCAATAGGTAGGTCCTGTTCTCTGCCTTTTCACTCCTAAGTCTTCACAGAGGCCAAGTGGCACTAGGTGTGGCTGGGGATCAGGATCTGCATATTTGTGCCTTAAATAGGTCAAAGCGAATTTTTGGAAATATTGTTTTGGTAAATAAAAATTCCTGGTCATGCTAATTATGGCTGTTTCAACCTGTCTCTTTCAGATACCATTGTTCTTATTGCTTCAATAGCAGTTGTGTCTGCAAAAACTCAGGGTAATATTTTTGCCACGTCTGCACTCAGAAGTCTCCGTTTCCTACAGATCCTCCGCATGGTGCGCATGGACCGAAGGGGAGGCACTTGGAAATTACTGGGTTCGGTGGTTTATGCTCACAGCAAGGTAAGATTTGCTTTCTGAGTTCAGAAACAAAATTTTTGACACCTTTTTGTTGATTGCTGTAATATTTAATAAACCTATCACAAGCAAACTTAGTCATTGCAGAAATTGGTTAAAACAATTTTGGGACATGATGTGCAATGTACTGTGTAAAAGCCATCATAAACATCCAAGAATTAGTAAAGTGGATAGAATCATCATAGAATTCTTTTTTCCTTTTTCAAAGATTTTCCACCTCTAAAAAATCTTTCGTTCCTTTTATGTCTAGGAATTAATCACAGCTTGGTACATAGGATTTTTGGTTCTTATTTTTTCATCTTTCCTTGTCTATCTGGTGGAAAAGGATGCCAATAAAGAGTTTTCTACATATGCAGATGCTCTCTGGTGGGGCACAGTAAGTATAAAAATATGTTTTTATTTATTGGATGTTGTGAAATGGTTTTTTTTTAATACAATGTAATGGTTCCTATGGAGGGTCTCAATAAAAATATCAACTTGCAAAAGAGAGTTATGTGGAAAATATACTACTTATAATTGTCTAAAGGCTTTCCACATCTTTTTGGGCCAACTATGGTCTCTTGTAAACCATCATTAATATTTCTTGAGTACTAGCTTGTTGCCAAAATAAAAATATATAAATATATATTATTTTTTGAATGGTGATTAAAACATTGATAGGTTGCTTATTTGTTTTAACTTTATGGAGCACAAATTGAAATTATTAATTGTTATATTGATTTTTCACTCTTCAAAAGTTTATCTGGGTTTAAAAAATGAACGGAAGCTCTGAATAAAATTGCAGCAATGAAAAAGAAGACTGGTAACCATCTGTGAGATCAGAGATTATAGACATCTAATTTCAGAACTTTCCTCTCAAAACCTGCTTTTTATTTATATTGTTATTAAAGAATAATTTTCCAAAAAAATAAAGTAAAATCATGATTCTCACATAAATAGAAAGTTAACACATGCTAAACATTTTATTTAACTCATTTTTAAAATTTAAGTCATTAATAATGAAGAAACCAGTGAGATGTTAAAACCGGTTCAAAGCACTATCAAAAGAACAGGAACATTTAAAGATCAGGAATATTGAAATCAATGTGCAAATAGAGGCAAAACTGGCTCCTTCCACAGTGTGGGAGGGAAGTCAGTTAAACCTCCACTAGGCAGAATTTATTTACATGTCCATAGGCAAGAATTATTTTGCATTGCTACCAGTTATCAACAACTTACAGAGCTGTAAAATAGCTAAAAGGCTATGAAAAGAGCAGAGCCCTGTGAAATCAGAATCCAAAACCCTGGAAGGGCGTACTCTGAACAACACATAGTTTTCCACTGAAGCAAAAATTTTCCCTGCATTGTAAAGAATTTATAAAACAGTCATTGGAACTTGTGCCCTAATAAGAATGTCACCGGATATAGGAGTGCTGTATACAATGTATAAATTACATTTATTTTTATTTTATTCCTTTAAGGTATTCCAAAGGGGAGTTATATGAAAATAATTATAACCAAGCATGGTGGCTTATGCCTATAATCCCAGAACTTTGGGAGGCCAAGGCAGGAGGATTGCTTGGGCTCAGGAGTTTGAGACCAGCCTGGGCAACATAGCAAGACCCCATCTCTAAAAAAAAATAATAATAATACAAAAATTAGCCAGGTGGGAGGATCACTTGAGCCTGGGAGGTAGATTATAAATGCTTGTCTACAGAATGTCCATATCTTTTTGGTCCAAACCCCTTAAGTTCTCTTTTATACCACCCTTAGTATTTCTTGAGTTCTAGAGTGTTGCCAAAATAAAAATACATGATTTTCTTAAACTGTGATTTAAACAATAAGCTTTTTATTTGTTTTTTATGGTTTTTTTGTTGTTGTTGTTCAGTGGAGCACAGATTTAAGTTACCAATTGTTGCATTGTTCCACTACTCATCAAAAGCTCATCAGCAAGACCCAGAACACTTGTCAGAGACAAGGAACATTTTTTAGGTCTGTATCAAGCAGCACTTGTATTTGTTGATTGCATAGCAGCAATAAAATGAATAAAAATCAGAAATACATTCACCTAAAGATTAGAATTTTTTTCTTAAGTTGTCTGAGTAAATGTCTACAAGATTATGCCATTGGTTTCAAAGGATTCTGTTGGTTTAATAATGTGGTTTCCGGCTGCTCCCCACTATTCACAAGCAATAATGGGCATTTCCAAAGAAGAGTGGAAACTTGAAAGAGAGCAGTCATCTGACATTCTTAAAATACTTTTTATATGTAGAGAGCAAATGAAAATCTATGACTCATGATGGGATAAACTGTAAACTGAGAAAACAGGAGGCTTTTCTTGCCAGCAAGGGAAGACAGTTTATTATCCCAGCCTTCAAAGCAGTGGTTTGAATTCAAGTTTAATTTTGCTTCTCTTGGATAATTCTAATGTGTTTAACTTACTGATGCTCCCAGGTGCCCCTTTTCCCACTGAGATGCAGTTGTTGGTGAGTTTAGCCTGGCAGCTCATTATCCTTCTTTTTATTAGTCTTCCCTTTCTCCTTATTACTAAAAAGAATTGCTGTGTTGTGTGTTAAACAGTGTGTGGGAAACTCTTAATATACCTCTCAGTTAGTCACCAGCTTGTTTCCTTTGCCAGAATTACCCACACAGCAGGTTTTCAAAGGTCATATCTGTGACTTTCAGGGGAAGAAACATATTTTCATTGATTTCCCTTTCGGCTGTGCTAATTTGACTCACATTTAACCCGTACTTAACAGGTTCATGAATGGCCTAATTATGTTTCTATTTTTTTTTAATCCAGTCTTAAACATGAGAGTAAAAATCTTATAAGATGTCAGACTTTGAAGAATTTTTTAAGGCCTTATTGGTTCATAGCAGGTTTGTTGATATTAACTGACTCATTAATGAAATTGTCTGAAATGTAAAAAGACAGAAAAAGCAAACAAGAGAACTCGCCATTTCTATTTATTTTAAGAAGAACATATACTAGATTCCTAATGGGAAATAAAATATATTTAGACTATTACACCTCTTATTGATACATTAATCAAGACCTTAGTGAAAAATATGGTTGGGTATTTCTTAGTTAAAATTGCCCGTGTTGCACCTAATAGACATCTTAATAACTGTGGAAGTATCCAGAATAAATAGGGAAAGGACAGCATCCTAAGTGGGAGTATTTCTAAGCGTTATACTTTGATGAAAAAAGGAAATCCCCTATATTAAAAGAGTCCACAGTATCAAAATTAACTATCAAAATATAGTTTTTTTTCTACAGATACACTGTCCCAGTGAATTTTCAATACTAATTGCTGAACTCCTTCCATTAAGATAGTGAGGTCTGTCCCCAAGATCAACTTTTGGAGGGTTATCATGGTGGGATCAGTGCTGCTCGAAGCCAAAACAATTCAAAGAGTTTTGATCCCTGAAAGCAATTTCATATTACTGAATAGCAATACCTAGCTCATTGAGTAAGTGAAATAGATATAAAAGACCTGGTACCAAAAACATTGCAAGTGCCCAATCAACTATGATAGCTATTGTTGGTGTAGACACGACTGCTGCGGAAGTTAAATGAAAGCACCTTTAATACAAAAGGAACAAAAAAAAATGCTGAGTGTTTTGATGCAGACCCATGGAACACAGAAAAGGATTGGGAATTGGAGGTTGTGATGAAAAGATGCCCTGGGTTCTGATGTGGCCACTAAAGTTGCATTGATGGCAGAAAATGGAAGAGGGAAATAACTGTAGTAGCTGAGGCACTGAGAGCTACTGGAAAAGGAGTTCTTCTGATTGCTGGGTGGAGCTCCACTTATTATCACTTTCTATTGTTATTTTTCTCATTGAATGTTTCAGATTTATTCTGAAATAATTTAAGAATGGGTTTTCCTGGGGTTATTTTGTTATTAAATCCTTCCTGTTATTATTTTTCTCCCTTTGATTTGCTTTAGATTTATTCTGATGTAACTTAAGGTCAGGTTTTCCTGGAGTAACTTTTTCTGGTAATAACCTTGAAGGCCAGTTTGTCCTCTTTCTATTCACTGGTATTACTATAATGAAGATAGTGTTATGGGGTTTTATTTTTAAAAGATGCATACAGCAGCAGATAGTATAAATCTACTCTTGAGTAAGCATCTGAATATAGACTTCACCTAAGACCATGTGCTTGAAGTGAGTATGTCAGGCATGTCGAAGAATTTTATGTCAGCCAGAATTAGTCCAAGAATTCATGCTGAAAAATCTCATAGTCTTTCTAGAAGCAAACCATATAGATGTTTCTATGTATAAAATGTAGTATACTGTGCACTCAACATGTTGTACATCCCAAATACATGCCTTGAGATTCATCCATCTGTAAAATCTAAGGGTAAGAAATTGTGTAAATTTGTGGAATAAACAATGATACTCTTGTCCTGATAGTACCAGGACCCTTCAGAGAATCAACTCTCCTTACATTGGGCTTACTAATACGAAATGTTTCTGCAACATCATCTAAGCTGATGTTTTTGAATTAATGCTGGCGTATTAAAGTTAATAATTACTTCTTACTACCAAAGCATTATCTGATGGTATCAAAATGTTACTTGGTCATTAAAGGATCAACACACTAGCTCCTAACTATTCAAGAATATGATCATTTACCAAGAAAAACAGAGACACACACACCCCACCCTCAACCCACTGAAACATCCAAGCTACTATGAGCATCTGTAAGTCCCATGCCTACCTTATTGGCATGCATTTGTGATGTATATTATCATATGCCTCTTTGGGGAACTCTTTCCTAATGAGAAATCTAAAGTAGCATTGATGACAGAATATTTCTTCAATAATGTCATCTCACACATGCCTCTGGACACTTTTTCTCAGTGATTATTATTCTATAAGCATTGAGCATAGGCTGTTTTGAAAAAATAGAACTGGTGTCAAGAGACCTGGGTTCTGGCCCTAACATTATGATTTAATGTAGGTATATTATTAAGCAGTCATTAACATCTCTGTAAAATTGAGATATCACCCAAACACAAAGTTGCTATCTATCTAAAATGAGATTAGGACATGTAGCTGTGCTTTATCAAGTACTAAGCAAATAGTAGTCATTACTGTTGTTACACCACCAGTCTGAAAGAACAAGATGGAATGCTAATGCCCTGAGCTGCTTGCCACAGCAAAGCCCAAATTTTATGATGCCACCACCATAGGAGATTCTAATGTTTGAAGATGGAAAAGCTTTCTGACCTACTAGTTCAAGGTGACTAAATTTCAAAATTGACTGCACAATTTCTGTGACCACCTACTATCTGATCCTAGGTGAATCACCCTTCCTTAAAAGACTTCCTTATGGGCTGAGCATGGTGGTTCATGCCTCTAATCCCAGCACTTTGGGAGGCTAAGGCAGGAGGATCACTTGAGGTCAGGGGTT